TGTTTGTTGTTTGACTTAGCGCCTTTGAGGATTTTAGTTAAGGTGTGTGTGTGTGTGTGTGTGTGTGTGTGTGTGTGTGTGTGTGTGTGTGTGTGTGTGTGTGTGTGTGTGTGTGTGTGTGTGTGTGTGTGTCTTTTTAAGTTTTAGAGTATTTACTATTTTTTTCTTCAGTTTTTATATATTTAAATAGATATATTCAGAGACGTGAAACACAATCACACGAAAACAAACACACGAACACAATCACAGGAACGAAATCACACAAACACAATCACACACACACACACACACACACACACACACACACACACACACACACACACACACACACACACACACACACACACACACACACACACAAGCTTAACACCAAAACATCACATATCTGTAAATTAAAAAAAAAAGAAAATTAGTAGCTGAAATAGAGGACTCAACACATCATCACTATAGGGTCAATATTTAACTTTGGCTTCAGAACCTTTTAAAATGGCTTCAGAGCCCTTTAAAATGGCTTCAGAACCCTTAAGGTGGCTTTAGAATCCTTTAAAGTGGCTTCAGAACCCTTAAGGTGGCTTTAGAATCCTTTAAAGTGGCTTCAGAACCCTTAAGGTGGCTTCAGAATCCTTTAAAATGGCTTCAGAACCCTTAAGGTGGCTTCAGAACCCTTTAAAGTGGCTTCAGAACCCTTAAGGTGGCTTCAGAACCCTTTAAAGTGACTTCAGAACCCTTTAAAGTGGCTTCAAAACCCTTTAAAGTGGCTTCAGACCCTTTTAAAGTGACTCTGAATACTCCTCCTAGGGTTCTGAATGTCGGGAAAGGTGTCATAAGGAATTGAATACTGTGGGAAGGTCTCATAGTGGTTAAGTGAAGGATCAATTTGTGGTTTAATTCTGTTTATGTTTGGTTATAAAAATGTTTTGGTATGTGGTGGAAATTTTGTATTGCGGAAATTTGGTTATGGTAGAGAAATGGTTTAGGTTAGGTTATTTTACTTGTTGTTAGTATTGTTGTTTTTGTTATTATTGTTATTATTATTATTATAATTATTATTATTATTATTACTGTATTATTATTATTATTATTATTATTATTATTATTATTATTACTCTTATTATTATTATTATTATTATTATTATTATTATTATTATTATTATTATTATTATTATTACTGTATTATTATTATTATTATTATTATTATTATTATTCACCAGCAAAAATAAAATAAAATATAAGTACACATATTTCCTCTTCATTAATATAACTAATCTTCCACAAATCACAACTCACAGACATGTTATAGGCTATTAATAATCTGTGAAGGTTATAAACGACTTCTTGATGATAGACCCTTAATTATAGAGTGATTCGTCTGGTAACCTTCAATACTGTATGATGAATGGCGATTTGACACGTATGTTCCGGCCATTTGTCAGGTGTGTGTGTGTGTGTGTGTGTGTGTGTGTGTGTGTGTGTGTGTGTGTGTTTTCTATCTTCAAATGTCTCAACTAAAATATATTCACTGGGGGTTTAATGCTATATATTCCAGCATGAGCGACATGAATATTAAGCAGGCCCAAATGTGTGGCCGCCTCCTGATGATTCACTCAGATCTAAATAGTGATTCATCGTAAATAAAAACTCGGGTAATCTAATTTCTCGCTCACCGCCAAGACGCCGCGGCTGGGGTCTGCTGCGACGCTCGTCTGAATAATGCTCCCTTCCTTAGTAAGTTGCTTGCTGGTGCCTCCCTCCCTTTTGCTTGCTCCTTTTCTCACTCTCCCTTCTTCCTTCTCCCCTCCCTCTCTCCCTCCTTCTTGCTTCTCTTTCCCGCCCTCCCTCATTCGTGATTTTTATTCTTCCTTCTTCAGTACCTCTTATTCCCTCCCTCCCTCCTCCCTCCCTCCCTCCCTCCCTCCCTCCTTCCTTCCTCCTCCTTTCTCCTTCCCCCACTCTCTATTCCTGGTGGTCTGGACAGCTGACTCTGAGTTATCTATGAATGGCGGGGCGAGGTGGGGTGGCGGGCGGGGTGGGGTGGGGCACTCACTCCTGTATGACATCACTTAACCAACCAGTGATGACGTTATGGTGACGTAGAGGGTGATGTCATCCATCACTTGGTAATGATTTTAGTCGCAGGAGATGACGTCTGTGATGAATTTTTAATGACGTTATAGTGACGTAGGAGGTGACGTCAGCGATCATTTGGGATGACGTCAGACATTAATCAACAAGCCATCAACTCTTTAGAAACTGTGTTGTCAAATATTTCGAATTGCTGCCGGCGAGTTGAGGGAAGAGGGGGAGGGGTAAAAGAAGGGAGGAGGAGAGGAGGGAAGGAGGTGGGGGGCGTAAAGAGCGAGGAAGAAGAGAAAAGAGCAGGGGAATTGGGAAAAGAGGGGAGGAGAGGAAGGAAGATGTGAGGGGGGAGGAGGGGAAGATGTGGAGGGGAGGAGGGGGAAGATGTGAGGGGGAGGGAGGAAGATGTGGGGAGGGGAGGGGGAAGGGAAAAGTAAGAGTCTACAATTTCCTCTTCTGTTCGTGTTCTTCTGTTCATCTTCCTCTTGGTTTCTGAGCACATTTCACTCTCCAGAACATAACTTAAACCTATGATTTCAAACTACAAAATTATCCATCTTTTTATCTGACAAACATCAATACGAATCATCAATCCGTCAATCAAGTCTTTCATTGATGTCCAACTGAGAGATAGCTCAATCAATCACTCAATTACTCCCATCAATTACAGTAGAAATGTCAAAGGAGCTTTTAATCCATCAATCGAGTGTTTTGTGTTATAAGAA